ACCAAATACCCACACACACATACACACACCTCATCCATGACTTCTAAGCACTCTAATACACTGTATTACAGCATCATAACACAATTCAAGTCTCAATTGAGGAAGAAATGATCATTTGTTATGTAACCCATTTAAAAAATTCAATTATCACTAAGTTTCAAACACAAAATTTTAGCACACACACAATATGAACTTAAATCTAACCACACCATGGAGTTCTCATGGAAAAATAAGTCTAACCAGGTCATTTGCAATTTGTAGGTGTTGTTTTTAAAGATAACGATTCTACAATGATGACATCACAAAAAAAAATTTGATTGCAATTAGGGAATAGTTTTGAATTGTTACCTCTGGTAACATTCGCAGTTTGTTCACAAGTTGGAGGGGGTGAAGTGTAGGGATGATAATGGACCGGTTAAAAAGGGTATTCATCCAAACCGCCCTTGTTTGGACTGGGGATGGACTATACGAATTGGACGGTAGACATATACGAGAATACCCGTATAAACTCATGTAGGGATGGAGGCGAGGATTAATTGAAATCCGCGCTACTAAACCCGTAACATATATATAAAACAAATAAAATAATTAAGTAAAATACACATTTGTTATACCTATTATTTTTATGAGTTTTTATGTTTGATCTATTTGTTATATAATTAATTTTCATCTTTCTTGCCAATCCATTTGTAAGGTTTTATGTTTTTTATTAATTTTTTTTCTTAAAATCATAGAAATTAATTGTTATGGGTGGAGACGGTGGCGGGGACAAGAATCAAAATTTACCCGTCGGGCGGGGATGAGGATCAAAATTTACTCGCGGGACAAGGACGAGGATTAAAATTTTCCCCGCTAACGGTGGTGGACCGACAGTGAACGAATATTTTTGAATTGGGTACGAGGTGGAGACTATTCCTGTCGTCTCGCCCCAGTCTACTGTCATCCCTAGTTAAGTGGAAACCACAAAAATAGAGAGAGGTGAAGTAAGATCAAAACTTAGAACATAGAGATTTTTTACATTTTACCCTTAAAAGTTTTTAAGAGTAACAACTTAGGACCACTCACCTTATATATTGTACATTTTTTTGCTATTGTATATTGTACTTTATATATTGTATATTCATGTACTTAAAACCTTAAAAAGTATCTGTCCGCACTTATTAACAAAAAAGATAGTTAAAACTATACTTGTTATGATTTTTTTTTTATATATACCACATAAGAGTGGGCATATTAATATCGATTTAGATCTCCTTTATTACTCATTTCCTTTAATTTCTTTTAGTACAGTGCTAGATAAGTAACATGTGTAAGAATTTGAATTTAAATAGATACGATATTGCCTCATTCATTTTGTTGTTGATAGAATGTTAACATTATAGAAAATGCTACATAACCCAAATGAAACTCAAAAGTTAAAATTCAAATGCATATCATCTATTGGATGAGTGAGTTCCACTGAAAAAATTGAAAAGACCCACTCATTTAAGAATGATATGTATTTGGATTCCAACTTTTTGAGTTTCATTTGAATTTTGTGGCATTGCTCTAACATTATTAAGGAATTTTGTCTCAAGAAAAAAATCTTGTCCATTGAAATTTAAAATCTTACCCATGTCACCTGTATTGAAGGGAATTAAAAATGAAGAGAAATGGAAGGGATCATTAATATCAAGCCTAGAAAGTAGAAATTCTACTCAAAGTAATAATTTAGAAACTGCAGCTTCCTACTTGTTGAACATTGTCAACCCAAACTGGGTGATGTTGTCTCTCAAACTGTGAGAGAACTTGTCCTGGAACACAGGCAACAACACTTATGATTCAACGAGATCACAACAAAAAACTTTAGCTTCAGTGAAAAATATTTTGAACCAGCGATTGAAAATCAAAATCCCCATATTTTTGAATGTTTTGTAATATTTGGAAATGAAATCTTAAAAATTTTCGCAGAGCCAACTGAAACTATGGGCAAAAAAAAATTTTTGGAAAAATTTCGGTGACACTTTTTTTAAGGACATAGTCTCTATTATCTAAAATATCACTGATACATCTTCTAGTTTATATTTAGATATCACGGACACCCCTCGCCATTAAATCACTATTTCTAACAAAAAAAAATTCATCTAAAATATCAAAATTGCCCCTACATAAATCCGAAACAATCTTCTTACATAAAATTTAAGTCAATTAAAATTCATTTTTTACATATTAAATTGTGAGTTGATTAAAATTCGTTTTTCTACATGTTAAAATTTGACCTAATTAAATTTTATTTTTTTTACGTATTAAAATTTGAGTCGATTTGAGCTTAACCTGAACCATTAGCACCGATTAAAATTTATAATTTTTTACTTATTAAAATTCAAGTCAAATTAATTAAAATTTATTTTTTACATATTAAAATTTGAGTCGATTAAAATTTATATTATTTTACATATCAAAATTCGGATCGATTAAAATTCAGTGCGAGTTAATTAAAATTTGATCCGAATTGATTAAAAACAAATTTTAATTGGTTCGAATCGAATTTTAATTTGTCCAAATTTTAATACGTAAAAAAATTCATAAAACAGAGAAATTTCATTGAAAATATCTCTATTTATTAGGAATGCCAGTTCATGCCTCTTGGAATTTCAGAAAATCCTGTATGAGATCATAATTGCATGCAGAGTAATGCTATGTTGACCAAATTTTAGAACTAAATTTGAAACCCAAATGACAAGACATCATATTATTTAGAGTCTTTATTAGGGCCAAATATCATCATAGATTTGAAACAATACTAAAGCACAAGAACACGGCAAGTCTTCAAAACCAAACGACACAGTATTAGCACACTAAAAGCACATCTTGGTTAAGCTTTCCACGAGGACAATGGTGGAGTGTCTGAATTCTTCCATGTAAAAAGATCAGATGGAAACCTTTCACCCTTGATTGCATCAGCTGAAGCAATGGATTCGAGCTCAGCCATGTCTGCAGGTGTAAGATTAACAGACAAAGCTGCAATGTTCTGGTTGAGGTTTTCAATCTTAGTCGTACCCGGAAGGGAACACACATCGTTCCCTTGGTGATGAACCCAAGCCAATGCTAGCTGAGATGGGGTACATCCCTTCTTTACTGCCATTTCATGAACCCGGTCATACATGTTTGTGTTATATTCAAGGTTGTCAGGTTGGAACCTCGGCAGATTCTGTTAAAAAAGAAGAAATACAAAATTCATGGTTAAGATTTTGGACTAACTATACAAAAGGACCCATGCGGACATCAGTTTTCGCAAGTAAACGTGCTTCAGGATGCATTGATAGCACAAGAAAGATGATTTCTAGTCATAGTAAAGCACTAACTTCTGTTTCTCCAATGGAGCAAGTGCCATATATGATCTTGAGGCCCTCATATTATGTTAGATATCTAAGTTTATAAACATGTGTTAGTAAATTTATGGATAGATAAGTAGTTTCCTTGGGAAGGGGTTGCATTTCAATTACACTGAGATTGCTTTTAAATAATATTGGAATGCATTAAAATAAAATAGATCAATATCTATATCTATGCCTATGTCTACACTATTAATAAGAGTCACTTAGCTTGAACATTTCTTGATTAACCAATACACCCTTATTAAAATAGGTAATGACATTATTATCACTTGGTAACTCAAAAAGACATAAATATTCCTTCATACCTATAAAATATTACTTAACACCACTACCATCACTAAATAATTCAATAAGGCATAAACAACCTTTCATTCATATATATATATATATATATATATATATATATATAATTTTAATTTTGAAATAATGAAATAATAAACAATAATAAGGAGTACAGAAGCTTGTAATATCTATACGTTGGAAATTTTTTGGAATCAGTATGTTACACTTAAAATATAATTAAGACAACAATATCATTTAGAATTAAAATACAGACTATGAATTTTTTTTTCTTGCTACCTAAAATAACCATTATAAATTTACATCGTAGTATTGATAATAAAAATATAAGATGTTATTTAACTTAATCAAACATCTATTTTATGTTTTTTTTTCATATATATTTCATGAAAATTTTCAAAATTTGAATTTGTTCATGTGTAACACAAGTGGTGTATTCTAGAAAATTAAAATACCCAAAAACACACCAATGAGAAAGCATTGACTAGAGGATGTTCAGTTGCTATATTGATTATTCCTTAACACATCTGCGCTTCTTTAGGTTGTTAAGTTAGTAAGTCTTGGGCAAACAAAAAAACTAAAACTCTGATATTTGACGCACTCATTTTGAAATCAAGAGACACATGGTACATGGACAAACCTTCCGGAAGTCATCATCCGGCAAGTTTTTCAGCAGCTTTGGGTCTGATGAGAAGAATCCATGTCCTAGAGGACTGTAAGCAACAATCCCAATACCGAGTTCCCTGAAAATTATAGGAGGGATGAAATTAGAATGTCATATCTCACAGCAGTTTTTTTGATCAGAGGACAACTACAAGCTACTTAAAAAACAGATATAGCATAGTATCCATATAACCCACAGACACACTTTTAGATTTCCGACGTGGGATTGCCCCAGTCCATCACCACAGCAGTTGGGTAAGAGACTAAGGGTGCCATATGAGACTATAAGGTCTCGATTGATTCTTCATTGAATTACTTAAACTTTTGGATTGTGAGGACATGAAATCAAGCTCTTATCACTCCCTCATCATATATGCAATTAGAAAAAATGCCCAACCTGCAAGTAGGAATTATTTCTTCCTCCACATCTCTTACCCACAAAGACCACTCCAGCTGAACAGCTGTAATTGGGTGAACAGCGTGTGCTCTTCTAATTGCTGAGGGTGAGGCCTCGGATAGACCTATGTATTTTATTTTTCCCTCTTCAACCAATTTCTTAAGTTCTCCCATCTTGCAAAAACACATGTTAAAAAAAATTAGAGAAGCCAAACGGTAAGCTAGTTAAAAAAAAGACAATGCATATAAGCATAGAGATGCTCAAAATACATATCTATTGGTGAAAATGTAGGCAAGAGATTGTCACAAAACTTCGAATATTGCACAAAGTTCTCCATGAAGCAAAGAGAAAATATTATAATTGCTTTTATATAATTGATTTGTTCAAAGTAGTGACTTTTGTATAGTTTAGGTCGAATCTCACCAAGACGAAGTGTGACACATGATTATCCTATCAAATACTTGATTATCTTAGCCAAATGTCATCATATCTATTTGAAAACAAAAAACTATGGTCGTCATGGTAACACATTTAACCATTGGATATACAGCTAACTTCACATACTCTCTCTCTCTCTCTCTCATAGGAATGATGGATTAAGAAATAGGGACTTTTGCCTTCTATCCAAGTAAGATTTTGGAAATACAGATGACCATCAAATTGAAGGTGAATATTGTCACGTTTACATTTCCTGTTTTGTCATTTACAAAAATTAAACCCACAAACTGTGTGTGTGTGTGTGAGAGAGAGAGAGAGAGAGAGGTAAGTGCTAACACTATCAATTACAGTGGCGAAAGGACCATCATACCCTCTAGCCCTCTAAATGAACTTCATCTATTCTTTCCCATTTATTTAGTTTCGCTTCACTACCATCACTGAATCATCACCATCACGTCTCCTCCACACCACTGCACCCACTCTGCACCACCACCACCGAATCACCAACTACTACCTACTAAAATTAAATCACCACTGTGCACCACCACAACACACCATTGAATCACCACAGCCCACCACCACCGCGATGCGCACAACCACCGCAGTTCTTGCACGTCAAAACCAATCCAAAACCAAATGGCGCAAGTTTTATCAAAAATCTTCCTCCGCCACCAACAACGATTGTGATATTGTTAAACTAAGGATTGTGAGATGCAGAGTTTTTCTATACCCAATATCCTTACGGTATGTAATTGCAAACCAATTTCTCGAAATCAAAATTGAAAATCGAAACAGAAACAGAAACAAAAAATAAAAATCAGTTTCGATTTAGAATTTGCTTGCAGCACACAATAGCAGCGTCGATTTGGCAAAGCATATGGGCGAGAAACAATGATGCGGAGCATAAATTTGATTTAAAGGCAAATCAATCAAAATCATTGCAAAATACACCTACCGAAAGTAACAGATCCACCAATTCCTTTTGGTATAGGTACGATCAAAACTGGTAGGGGTAAAGATGAGGAAAAACCGCTGGAAATGATCGAAGCCATGGAATGATTTGATCTTGAATCAGTGCTTTTGTGTTCAAAATAGATGAGAGAACTTAGTCGATTCGAAATGGTTTTGTCGCCGCAAAATTTTGAAGCTGATGTTTGCTTATAGACTGTGAGTAGGTTGCCGATAGGCTTGGGGTCGGAAAATTAGTTGAACAAATTATATTAATAAATTAAATTTGAATACCATTGACATACAAAAATAAGCTTAATCTCAAATTGTATTTTGAAAGATTGTTTGAAATTATAAAAAATTTTAATTTGTATTCTCAAACATAAAAATTTGTATTAATGTATACTTCAAGCACGATGAATTTGTCATAATGGATAAATTACACCTAAACTCTCTCATGTTTGTCAGTTAATCACTTAAACTCCTCACATTTAAAATATTACACATATATCCATTGAAAATCCAAATATGATTAAAAATGTTCTCCTAACTAAGTTTTAAAATATTATGTTTAAGTGATGTATTATATTAGATTTAAAAAACATTATATAAATACCTACATTATATTGGACATTCAAATGATATACTTAATTTTTCATTTTAGATTACAACGGGTCCACAAAATAAAATGGTAGTATGAAATTATACTTTTTTATTATGATGAAATCATATTTTTAACGATTATATTAATAGATATCAACGAGAAGGGGTTGTGTGTTACATGTGTACAAATATCAAACGGTGTAGGAGTAATATTCTAAATGTGAGAAGGTCCAAATAATTAGGTGACAAGTATGAGAAAATTTAGGTGTAATTTATCCATTTAGTTTTAGATTGCAAATTGGCGGCTGTTAGTTTTAGGTGCGCATTGATACAAATTTCTATATTTAAAATTGAAAATTAAGATTCAAACGATCTTTTGAGATATAATTTATAATTAACCCGTAAAAATATGATCTAATTTTTTTACAATTTTAACCAAAGAACGAGTCACTCAAAAAAGATCATCATGTGACATTCATTTAATCAAAAGAAGATTTAGAGTTAGTTGATGTGGCTTATTCAAATTCAAGGACAATTATAACTCTTGTGATGGAATGAATGAACAATTATTATGAAATTTAAAAAGACAGTCGTTATCAATACTTAATGAGCTCTAAAATTTTGAAAAGTAACAATTAAAACGAGAAAAATCAGAGAAATTGTCTGAAGAAGTCAATGTAATCATCGGTGGAGAGACCCTTACAAAAGAGGCATGGATTGCAAAGGAGAAAATACGATCAATCTTATCAAAGACTTATGACTTGGACATTTCTAAGAATAATTTTAGAGTAGAATTAGTTTTAGAGATTATTTAATCAGTCTTTTATGACCCATAAACCTTTCAAATTTAATAAAAATGTTTTCCCTTTCGTTAATCTCTTGATTATTATTTTATTTACTTTGAATTTGTTAATTATGATCGTCCAAAGAAGTCTTGAAATAAGACAGTTGAACCCAACATCTAACAATCGTTGAAAGAATTGAGTTTATCAATTACCGGAGAAATTCTTTGTGCAGACCAACAATTTTGGCTCACTCGGTGGAACAATGTTACTAACTACTTGGATAAAAAATGGAGTGAACAAGAAAACAAGACAAAGGGTTTATTGGAGTAGAACACAATGAAAACATAGAGACTATGCTTGGCAAGACTAACCATGTTAAAGGGAGGTTAAGTTCCAATCCAGTAGAACCTGCAATGCAAGGAAATGGCCAGACTTGTGGCTATAGAATCGTGCATTGATGCAAGACTTCATGCAGAATTTGAGACAGATACTACATGATTCTTATTTAAGCATTTGGTAAGATTTAATGAATGTCATGCATGAATTGATGGGTGGCCACCAGGCAAATATGTTAGGACATGTGAATCAAAGATCCTCTAATATTATTCAAAATTCAACCGTAAAGGAAGGAAATACCAACCCATTGGTATTCTTGTAGAAAATCAGGGGCCGCCAATGATGGCACCCAATATGGGTCATAGTTTTCAACACTAGAATCATTTCAATATGATGTTTGACTGGAAACCTATTAAAATATTTCCTAATTTTTATTATGCTAGGAATCTTAGGGGTATGAATGGGTCAAGAATGACTCAAGATCATCCATAGAGACGTCACATGCCTCCTATGGATCCAATAGAGGAAATGAACCACAAACTTAGGGGAAAACCTTTGGACCCATTTGAAAACATAGAAACCCATAACAACATGATGGTTAATAGAAACCTATTACTGGAAATGATTCAAGATCTATATGGTTTTGGCCTTTGAAGGACAGAAAGATTGGTTTTTAGAAAGTCATATCCCCCCGGGGACAGGGGTGGACTTTAAGGAGTTTCCTAGAGGGTATAAAATCCCCGAATTCAACTTGTTCCTCAGAGAAGATAATCAATTTACCATAGAACATATTAGTAGATTTACTTTCCAATGTGGAAAAGTTGAAAATAATGAAATTTTAAAAATGAAGTTATTCCCACAGTCCTTGACCAAAATTATATTTTCATGGTTCATCAACTTGTCAGACAATTCAATCCAGACATAGCAAGAGACGGAGGTGTAATTAAATGCTCAATTCTTTTGAAATGAACTAGAAATGTCGATGACAAAAATTTTCAGATTAAGGTAGAAACCTAATGAGTGTACAGACAGTACATCGAAAGATTTAAAAAAGGAAGAAATAAATATCATATTTATATGCCTGAAGTAAAACTCGTAAAATTGACCCACAATGGTTTATATTTTGAATTAAGAAAGAAATTTGAAGGCATTGAGTTTATAGATTTGTCTGAACTCTTAGTCAGGACGACTAGTTATGAAATATTGCTTAGGGAAGAACAATAAAGGAAGAATAGTACGTTGGACACATACTTTCAGGATCTTGATGGAGATATAGAAATTAATGTTGCACAAGTAATAGAGAAAATCACCTATTGCGTATGATCCTTTGAAGAAAATAAAAGATTCTATAAACATGTCATCAAACCACCCATTCAAATATGATACACCGTCAACGTATTGATAATATTCCTTTGATCTATCCATGGTTGATGCTCTCTTTGACGAGATGATTAGCTAGAAATTCATAACCCTTTCTCAAGGACATGTTGTTCCATCATAAAAGGATAGAAAACAGAAGGAATATTGCAAGTGGCACAATTCATTTTTAATACTCAACTAAAAATTGCATTACTTTCAGAAATTGTGTGTAGGATTTGATACAAAAAAAGATATTCAAATATCCAACCTAAGAAAAAGAAGCAATGGGTGTTGATAATGTTCATTTTCCCAAAAAAGTAAGGCTTATTGTGATTTATGTTGATACACAGGGATCTAAGAGGATTGCAAGTTCAATCACGAATGAAAAATCAGAATAAGAATACGAAAAGGTATTCCCAAAGATTCAATAGCCAATCACAAGTAGGCTTGGCCCCAAAAGGAAGAAGAACCACTGGTTATGTACTTCAGATGTGGCAAATAATTGTCCAAACCATAAGCCATTTTGCTGGATGACATTGTGTCTGATTTTACAGATAGGGGACTTCTAATCAGTACTAGTGGAGAAGGTGACACCCAACTTTACAATGGTATTCAAAAAATCTTTGATAGTGTTGATCCAAAAATCTTTAAACTTCAAGAGAGATACATCAATGGAAATGGACCATACCATTTTCCATAGGAAAAACATGCACCAAGAAATACAACCTACCATGGACCATGGAAAATCCAAGAAAGAGTGGTTTCAAAGTATGGATCATGTGGTAGGAAATTCCAATGCCAAATAAAGTGAATGACAGAGGATTCAAAGGGAAGAACGTCTGGAAGAAAAGAGGCAATGACAAAAAGAAAGATTTGAAGATAGGGCTACAAGTAGGCCTAGGATGGTTGTACCTCTTAAAGTGGAGGGAAAAAATTGGCACCACCTCCAATGCCCAAAAATCCCTTATGATAGTTGGTATAAGCCACTGACTAGAACCCAAAAGAGGAGAGAATAGAGGAAATTCGTCGCATGGATAAGCAAGCGAAATCTAACTCCCAAAGAGGTGTATGCATGAAAAGGAGGCCAAACGGAAAGAAAAAAAACAACGTGCTCTTTAATTTAAGGTTAGAGTTTGATTTAAAGAAGCAACAAACAAGCTCATAAGAACCCAAATTAGAAAGAAATTTGGGTAAAGTATGATCAGGTTCTAATCATGCACTTACTTCAATCCCTGTCGGTGACAATCCAGTCTGGTGTATAACATCAATGATTGTTGGGGATATCATTCCAATGGGAATGAGGATAACATTGCAAGACTTTGACCAGAAACAAATTGCCGTACCTATGAGCCACCGATTTATGTGCAATGGTCAAGTTGAGAGCTTTATCAATTCATAAATCTTTTGTTGTTTCCATCGAGAGGAGAAGTTCTGTTCCATCCTCTTTACCCAATCAATCCATTGCTGGTCAGGACTGATCCAATATTGCAGAGGATTGGTACATTTGTCCTATGATTTCCATTGAAGGTGGGGTTAATGTAACATTAAGGTTTCTCCTTCAAAAATAGGGTAGAAGTCAAATAATCCTTTAGAAATATATGATTTGTGTTGTGATGACTTGTATTCAAGTCAATTGTTTTTTATTTGGACTCTAATTGAAGACATGAGTTTTCATTGGAGTCCTTGATAGACAAGTTTGATCTTAATTAGGATTATCTTGGTTTTATTATTTTAGTGGAGTTTAGTCCAACATGGACTTTTGTTGTTTAAACTCAAAGCCTTCAAAGAGTCTTTGGTTTTTTGTCCTACACGTGAGACCTCCTTAGCATAAAGACTTTGTGAAGGAATCAAATTCCTTAGTTCATAAGCTAGATAAAAAGGACGTCTTCTCTAGTGAGTTGGTTGTTGGTCATTGACGACAGTATACAAGTTTTCTTTATGTGTGATAAATTGATATTGCTCTATTTTGTTAAATCTAATAAATATTTTATTATTGGAATAGAGCAGATATCTAGTTTTCTCGTTGATTTGTTCTGAGAACGTTGTAATCTCCAACCTTTCAATAGTAAAATTTTGACGTTGTGTTTCGTTTGTGGATGTAGGCTTGTTTGTTCAGCCGAACCATGTAAATCTTTGTGTTCTATTTTTTTATTTTGTTGCGTTATTATT